TTTGTAGAGATGATCTTTGAATGTGTATCTACAAAATAAACGGTTTGGATGAGTGAAATACAATCTGGAGTGGCCTCTATAAGGGGTGTCCCTCAAATAAGCTTATTTGAGGGATCCCTCAATGGAAGCTCTCTGTATATATATAACCTATAAAGCAGCCGACTGTAGCTTTTTGAAAAGAGCAAAAATATTAAAACCTATATATAGCCCATTAAGTGGCTGGGACCCTCATCTTGTGTGGCTTCTTGGCAGTTTTCACGTAATGAAGTTTGCAAGTCTAACTACAATTATAATGAAATCCTAGTATCCTAGTTGGTTCCACCACATAATGAAGTATGATATTGTGTTACCAAAAAAAAAAAAAAGAGGATATATTTTGACATATATTTTGATAATATGTATTTTTATTTATTACATTTAATATGTATTTGTTTTATGTTAAAGCTTATTGCAAATTTGTCAATGAAGCTATGAATTAATGTATACTTTTATTTTAGCTAGCCCACCATCAAAAAATTCATAATTCCGCCCTTGCTACCCCTGTAGCCAATGTTAAATTTTGGTCCAAAGTCTTTTTAGCAAATTTTTATTTACAGTAAACTGTTGAAAGTTGGCTTAAATTGAGGAGGTTATTTGTGTGGGTTTATTTGTATATAGTCCATGGCCTATTTGTTTTGGTGGCTTAGGGTTTTCACGTCTTCTATACATGCATAACATTCTCACTTTCTTAGTGTGACCGCCACATTTGCTAAGCTAAAAGAATAATAATACCACCACCACCACCACCAACAATAATAATAATAGAGAATATATATATATATATATATATTGACAAATCACAGTAACAGAAGTTGACAGAAGAAATTAAAGCTACAGTACTGGAGAGGAGAAAGGCTGAGAAGAAGAGAGAGTTACCCACAACCACAGTGAAGATTCCTTGGGCTGGCACTGAAATTAGCAGTTGTCCATTTCTAGCTAAACTCCAAGAGCCTAGAAAACCTTGTAAACTTGACAGAAATGGTGACCCTACCAAACTCCTCCCACAGTCCCACCATGCAACATATATATTACTTTATAAATTTTATTCTTGATAAATTTCTATGTAGTTTTCACATATATTCTTTTAGAAAAAGAAAAACTTTTTTTTTTTTGGGGTTAAATGAAAAAATAAAAAGTTATATATATATATAAAGGTATTCCAAAGAGACACCGGCCAACATCTGGTTCTGCTTTTGGGGCACATGCCTTTGTGTTTTTCCAGTTTTGCATGCTCAGCTCAGCGTTGAATGAACGTGTGAATTTGCACCGAACTATATCAAAAGACTATAGGCGCTTCACTCCACTTCCAAATTTTCCTCTTTTTTTGCTTCTAGCAATTCACTCCAGTTGTAAACCCATAATTAAGCGAAGGATATTGACTAGTGTTTTTAGTTGGGAGTTTGAGGAAACTAAGTGCCGCCGTTTGATAACCATTTCAATTTTAGTCTTCAGTTTTTAGTTTTTAGTTTTCATTTTTTGTGCTAGAGTATAGAGGAAAATGAGAGTGAGAATGGGAGTGATGATGAGAGGGGAGAATGAGAATGAGGAGTAACAAAAGTGAAAACAATTTGAAATAGATTTCATTTTTTAGTTTTTGTTTTCACTTTTGTTACTCTTCCTTTCCATCTTCTCCTCTCATCTTTCCTCTCAATCTCATCTCTACTCTCATTCTCACTTCCATTAATTCTCCCTCTTTTTCCTCCGTACTCTAGCTCAAAAAATGAAAACTAAAAACTAAAATTGAAATGGTTATCAAAAGGGCCCTAAGTCCAATGAAATAAAGTGAGAGTAAATATAACTTCCAAGTTCAAACATCACTAATCTTATGGTCACTACTGCTAAAACATTAGCAGTCAAACTAGTATATGATGTCAAGAATTGAATCATCTACTTGGAGTATCATTATAACCATTTGATATTCTCAAAGAAGACCCTCTCGTAAAGCTCAAAGACTTAAATCTATTCTAATATCAGTTAGATTGAGAAGATACATATACCCACTAAATTTAGAGGCGGTTGATCATAGGCACCCACTAAAATTGCACCGATATCGTTCCCAATTTGACTACGTAGGTCGAATGCCTTGGGTGAAGTTAGGCTCAATAAACCCATCCATGTGATTAATTTAGCTCAAGAAGGCCTTACTGTAATTAATAGTGAACCACCTAGCTTTAGATTTTTGTCCTTCTCCGATATAGAATTCTGCTCATTTCCATCCATGACTTGTGTCGAGCCACATAACACCAACATTATTTGCACTTCCCAAACACAACCTTTATATTATGATATATAATTTTGGGGATCTATTCTCCGAAAAAGTTGCCACATCAGTAAACTCTCATCCCACATACGATAGGAGTATAAAATAATTTTGCAATCGTCCGCAGAAAGTAATTGCGAGGACGTTTCATGACAAATGTTTCTTTAGGCCTTGTCTTAGGAAACAAGAGCCCCAAAGTTATACCATGATTGTGCAGTTCTTGGTTCCTTAAAGCTACGAAAAATTCAAAGATGTCTAACACTTGATCATGAACAGAAATAATGATAAAAGCGGCGGCATGAAATTAAAAAAATAATGATAAAGCAGGAGCAGCTCACTTGTAAAATGGACAAAACCATCATAACATCCATACATTGCAACAAGCTTTACCCTTAGTCATGAAGCAAACACCGTATAACCTGCAGAATGCAAGGTGCATGCAATCCCTGAAAACAAAGAAAAAAACGCAAAAAAGGCAAAGGCAAAGACACAGACAGACAGACAGAAAACAGCGTCTGAAAAACAGAGTCGGTTCCTGTTTTGCTCTCAAAGCTTATAAATATTATATTTCAACAAAAGAGAAGCAAAAGTGCTCGAGTTTTATGCCAACTCTTTACGGCCTCTTGCCCTCCTCCTCTCCTTTAATATAAAAATAAACTTCAGATTCTGCTGTGTGTTGCCAACTTTGCCTAACGTCACAGAAACTAAATTAGTGCACGGTTTCTTGACCATCCATTTGGATTGTTGCTATTTTTTTAATGGCTTGTTCCTCTACAAAGTCCCAGCTTTCCTTCTCAGTTCACATGCACTTGCTCTTTCTTTCCCAAACCATAGTTTCCTTGTCCACCTTACATTGTTCACACCCTTCCAGTTACCTTACCTTATTTTCCTGTTTTACCATTTTGACCTTTTGCTACCTCACAAGCGCTAAACAAGGCATTTAAGTGAATAATTCTACCCTAGTCTCATTTATGTTAAGCTTTAAGTGCTTAAGGGGAGAAGCACCTACTTCGCCATATGATCACTTTAAGTGCTTCTTAAAGGGCTAAAAACGTTTTCTAATAACCAAAAGTCCTTCTAGATCATACAAGTGCTTTTTAGGGAAGCACATGCTATATATGCTTCTTCGGGAACCAGTCCCAAGTACTTTTCCATGAAGCACTTGGGTTTTCTTATGAAAAATTCCTAGAGAAGCAGTCCCAAAACGAGCCCTAAGCGATTATGGGGAGATGCACTTCCCATGTGATTCTCTATAAAATCATTAAAAATGATTATATGGAGAAGTGATTATTGGCCTATCCAAAATCACTCTCAAACTAGTCCTTAATTGCGAACGTACAATTATTAGCGCTGAAGAAACTGTAAAAAATTGAATGGGATTGTGTAACTTGCACACCACATAATTAAAATTTTGTATCAAGCCACTGTAAATCGAGTGGGAAATTGACTCAATATAGGTTATTTTATATGTCTTTAATGAATAAAGAACTTAAACAATGTGTCTTGTGGAATAAAACAACGGGGAAATTGAATTGAAACTTATTAAATTTGAAAATAACAAGATGAACTACAAACACTGTAGAAAACCAGCTCGAATAAAAAATAGACAGCATCTAGTGATAGATCTCCATATGGAAAAGATAAATAACATGAAAGTAAACGAAACTAAGGAATTTGAAAGCAATTTGAATCAAATTGTGCCAAGAAAAAGTCGTTTGGGCTAAATGGTTATAGCAGAACTTAAGGAATAACAAATTGAGATGGTATGTCAACTAGAAATCATAGCAACGTGAGGGTGTAGCAGAGCAATCTTCAATTGGTTGAAATCTCTCATGTTTTGAAATTAATTGTCATCTTTCAAGAGGAATCGGGGGAGTTTAGTATGCATCATTGGCCCTTCATATTTGTAGGAGTTTTGACCTAGGGCACTATTGGCCCAAGCCAACTTGGTCTCGAACTAAAATTTAGAAAATAATTTCCTTTCCAAATATTCCCTCTACTTGTGTGCACAACTAGAGAACCTATTTTGAAGAAAGATGGGTGACGGATGCAAATTTTAGTACAATATATAATTGTAAGCAGTTTATAGTTTAAATGATTAAGAGCATTTATTCATACATTTGAGGTTCTGTGTTCGAATTTCTCATTCCTCCAATACCATTAGTATAGAAAAATAAAAATATTAAATTAACATAATTTCAGTTGAAAAAACAATAAGAGAAATCATAATTAGCTAGACAGAGAGTATTGCTCGAGTAACATAAAAGTGATTAGCTAAAATTTCATTCTAGCCACTTTAATTCAAATTTAGCTATATAGCCGTGATGGTGTGATATGTACTTATTACATTAATGTTCATATATGTCATGTTCTTAATTAACACATTGATCAACTACCGTCAACTAATTTTTTTTCTTCATCACTTGTCGTCTATAAAATTAAAATTCAGGACCTCCAACAAAGTCACAAGGCCAAATAGTCGTCATTGACAACATGATGTCAAGTAATTAATGTGGTAAGAAGTACATATGTTATCTCTCTAGCGTTACTCATTATATAAAATCGTAGGTGAAAGTAAATATATAAACAATATGAAGGGCAGTTATGTAATTAACTGTATAGTAATAATCTTCCTTGAGCTTGCCCTATATATAACCTCACCTTTTTTAAGCGGTTTCCTATGTATGTATCCTTAAGCAGTCTGTATCTCTCTTTATTTTTATTTTCCCCATTGAATCTAGGTTTCAGCTTCAAAACAACATTTCTTTTTCTTTTTTTCTTCCTCTGCACAGTAATATATGGAAGATAAAGGGCAGGACCCTAATAGTCCAGGAAATGGATCGGAAAGAAGCAGTGAGCCAGTAAGGTCGAGATGGATACCAAAGCCAGAGCAAATCCTAATCCTAGAGTCAATTTTCAACAGTGGAATGGTGAATCCCCCCAAAGAAGAAACTGTGAGAATAAGGAAACTTTTAGAGAAATTCGGCACCATCGGGGATGCAAACGTCTTTTACTGGTTCCAAAACCGACGGTCGAGATCTCGCCGCCGACAACGGCAGCTGCAGGCCAGCCTTGAACAAAGAAACAATACTAATAGTAATCAAGTTGGTGATCATCAAATGGGTATAAGTAGTGGTGCAATTCAGTATGAAATAAGCTGCAGTCCTTCAGCTCCAGCTCCTGCCATAGCTTTTGGAGCTTCTCCTACTTCTTTTGGCTCTTGTAATTATCTTGTGGGTTCTTCTTCTTCTCCGTCTAGTGGTCATCATCTTATGGCAGATCATGATCAGCAAACGTCTTCTTCTGTTGACCAGTTCTTTTCAGTTTCTGGTCAAATGGGGTTTCCGGAAATCGAGCAAGGCTCTGGTGTAACGTCTGTCTTAGGAGGAGCTCCTTCAGATACCTCAACTTTGCCCTTCCAATCTGGTAGGTGCATGGCTAATCTGCTCTTCTGCTCGACCGTTTCACTTTCACATCTATGTTTTTATATTTATATATATTCTTTAATTATTTTCCATGTCTTGAGCAAGTTTTATTTGTTATTATTGACTTTATCATGCTTTTCTTAAGCTTCATTTTCTTTAATTGTAATTTTAATTATAGTTTTAATAATAAGTAGCTAGATTCCCATAGATTCATGATTACTCTGAGAGCCACGGAGGTATATAAATTAGCAGCGACTTTTTGCTGATGTGACAGCTCTTGTGTTTGAATCAATGGTACGAAAGTTGCAGCTTTCCCTAAAACCATGTAAATTCCTTTTTCTGGCAGTCTTTTCAAACGAAAAGACAACATATCTAGGTAATTGAAATCAACTACTGTTTCACAATAGTGTTGATTTCACATCAACATACCACACTCACTCACTTTTTCCCTCTTCGCTGGTTGTAATTTGATCATAACAATAGCTTAATTTATGCAAAGCTTATGATTTTCTGCTTTCGGTAAGACTCTGACATCCTTTTCTTCTTTAATATGAAAGCCTGGCTTTCTGCTCCTGCTTTGGATTTTCATATCAACGCCTGAAATATATGCTTTGGTCCATTAATTTATGTCCAGGTCTCATCACAGTGTTTATTAATGGGGTTCCAGCAGAAGTTCCCAAAGGTCCACTTGACATGAAATCCATGTTTGGTCAAGATGTGCTGTTGGTCCATTCCTCTGGTCTACCTCTGCCACTCAATGAATTCGGTTTCTTAGCTCACGGCTTGCAGCCTGGTGAAAGCTATTTCCTGGTAAACTCTCTCTCTCTCTCTCTCTCTCTCTCTCTCTCTCTCTCTCTCTCTCTCTCTCCTGTTTTTGTTCTTTAAAGATTAAACTGTACTTCTTATTTCCAAATCTAGTTTATATATAAACTTGTATCAACAGCATCTTCCAAGTCCAAGAAAGGAACCTCTTCTCTTTCTCTAGTTGGATTTCATACGCCCTCTCCAATATTTTAAGAATCAAGCCTTCTAGTTTTATCATTTCAAGATTCGAAATGGAGGTTGCGTTGCATTGGTAACATTTAAGGATTCCACTAACTCCTTTTTCTAATAACCTACTTGATCTCAATCTTTTATTCCATTAATTTCTTCTTCTTTTTTTAGAATCTCTTTCTCAATCATGTTTTTCCGGTTGATTTAGATCTCTTTTCCAATTTTTTTTGTTCATCTTTAGATTTCAAAGCTTGGATTATATTTATTTCCATTAAAACCGAGTGTTAAATACAATAATTTATATTTTAATTAGTTCAATAAGTAAATTATTATGAATATAAGTAAATTGTACCTACAATTTTGTATATTTGTATACACAGTTCTGTTTTTGTATATATTCAAAATAATGTACCCTATCAAACTATAAAAAGGAAGTTATAATGAACAAATCATTTATATATATAGTTATTCTCTTATGTTGATGTCCGCACGTTATTATCGTATTGATGCTATTGTAAACATAACTGTGTTACAAATTGGAGTCCACTAAGCAGCTGATTCAGTCACAAATTTTTTTGTTAATGCAGGTTTCAAGGACAACTTAAGTAGATTAAAGCCGCCTGCAACTACAAAAATGGAGCTTCCTACAAATGTTTCTTCATAATCTTGCCTCTTGTTCTGGTTTCGTTCATCATCTTACATTTACTTCCCTCCAGCAGTATGTGATTATTAGAAAAATATATATGTTTATTAGCTACCATGCATGTTTCAAATAGCTTACGGTCGGTCAAACTATATATCCTTTCTCTTTTCCTTCTTTCTTCATTGTAATGATTGCAAATTTACCTCTGAGTTGCACAATGTATTTAGAAATGAGACGGTAGCGTATTAGCTATATAATCATTTACAACATGGATATCAACTTATGAAATGTTATGTGTGTTTTATTATAAATCTTATTACTATCTTTCCTACTTGAACTCACTACCTCAATCCACAAAGTAAAGACTACTGAGTACTACTACACTAAATAAGGACGTTCGGTCGAATTTTGTAACAATTTGCTTATTACAGAGGAATTTTACAGAAAGAAAATACCGGTGGAATTTAGGAACCTTATCAACTGAAATAACCCGTATTGGAAGAAAGAAAATATAAGATGTGTGGCAAATCTAAGTCATAACCAAACCAAAAGATTAAAGACTACCACCTCCCTAGATTAAGTTGTTATTTTGGTTTCATGCATAACGATGTTTAAACACTATTCAACCAACCAAACAGACAAGTATATAATGATGAACTTGCCGACTAAAATCGAATAACTTGAAGGAGAATGAGGTCATTATTCTTAGGTCAGTCAAGTTATTCAAATCTTATAGAATGTGTCCATTTTCCTTCTCGATAGCAGCAATAAATGAAAAGAAATGGAGAAAAAGTCGAACTTAGAAGTTGATGCCTTCATGGCCTCCACACCGACCAATATAACCCTTGAAAATCAGAGGAAAGAATATGCAACTTGGCCTCCACACCGACCAATATAACCAATCCAAAACAGACGGATGTTTGTTACGGATTTCTTTATTTAATTGCAGAAACATTAGGGCAGGGTTACTGAGAAAAATACCGTGTGATATCCACTTTTATTGGCTGGCACCTCCCTTCAAAATTGCTTTTTTTAATTTGCGTCAGATTCTATGGTTCTAGATGCCATAATAAAATACTTTGTTAGCAACACGATTGATCTGTACTTGACTACGAAACACCCCAGTCAACCTAGTTGTGAATCCAATGTGCGAAATTTTAATCATGCTCCTGCGAAATGATTATTATGTATGGCTTGAGATGCTCATGATTAATTGAAACGCACAAAACGGTCAAATTCCTCACAAATACAGCAAGGTTTTTCTAGGTTAACGTGAACATTAGGTAAATTAACTCTTAGGACTCCTTATATTTGTATATATGTTCGGACGTGACCGATCTTCAGATTTTGAAGGTATTTTGCAAAATTTAAATTAGGGTTTTTAAGTATCCATAATGAACTCCCCAAGTCACTTATTTAGACAAATTTTAGGGACGAAGAAACAGATTACAACTCCAACCATGCATGCTCCCTATCCACCTCCCAAAATATGGAGACCTCTAGGACCTCCTAAATCTATGGAGAGATAAATGATTCATAGTAGCTCCCTATAATTTAATGTTGCTTTGTTTTATGCATATTTTAAACTTTTAATTAATGCTAATTATTTTTTATATATATATTTTTTAAAGAGAGCTCCTAAAATAGCTTTTGTCTATTTTTAGCTAAATTTTAACTAAAAAATAAAGAGCATGATTGTAACATGCTTTAATATGAAACTACTAAAATAAAATTTTACCGTGAATTGATGCCATAATAAAACCATTGTTTGTTAAATAAAATTCTTCATCATGACATGCAATTTGCAAAGGCAATTACAAATCAAATTCAAAAAAATTTTAAGGATCAACTACATAAAACCCCCGAACTATGGGGGCATTACAAACTCATACATAAGATTTGAACACCCTACAATCAGGTACTCAAACTTATAGAAATCTTACAAATGAGACCCTCCATTACCCATACCGTAAACAATTATGATAAATGATGACGTGGCCATTGTAAAACCAATTTTTAAAGTTTATTTTTGGACTCCAGATAGGAATAAAATAATTAAATCTTTGTTTTATCTTATAAACAATTAAATTTTTAAAAATACAAAAAATAAAAATAAAAATAATCCAATCCATTCCCCCGTACCCCAGCCCTAATCCGCCAAAATTTTAAAAAATAATTTGAATAGGAGCGCTAAAGCGCTAATCGGTTAATGAGTTAATACAATACTAACTACTCTTTTTGGCTCACTTCATAATATCATTTGATATTAATAATATACATCCGTTATAATCATAATTTTCATGAAATTTTTTATTTTTTTAGAAAAGTAAATTTCATATTTTAAACTGGTTTAATAGTAATCTCATCATCTACAGTATTAAATACTCAAATTAATCATTTATATCCCAATAGAGAGAAGGAAAAAAAATATGGTTCATAAATCATAAATCCCAACACTCCCAACTCATACGTGGAAAAAAGGACTGAAATAAAAAATTCACAAAGCTTAAGTTAAACAAAAGAGAAAAAGAAAGAAACGCCGTAAATTTAGGGGTTTTTTATAGTGCAAATATTATAAACTAACCTAAAAACTTTAAGGGAGATAAGTATATGAGAGATTAAGAACTTTTATGGTTAATTTATACACAATAAGAACCTATTTTAGTATTAAATATCCTACAACTAATCTAATATATTACAATATCATATATCATATATAGTATATAAATAAAATTGGTAAAAATGGAGTGGGGCCTAGGACAACACTGATCGCTTAATGGCTCCACCAGTGTCCCTAGCACACCCATACCAAACCCAAGAACTCAAAATGACTTCTGCGAGATGGGATGAGTTTGATGGTGCCTGGATCTAGGAGGCGACAAGGAGAAGGGAAGATAGAGAGAGAGAGAGAGAGATATATATATATATATATATATATATACAGAGAGCTTCCGTTGAGGGATCCCTCAAATAAGTTATTTGAGGGACACCCCTTGTAGGGCCCACTCCGGATTGTATTTCACTAATCCAAACCGCCTATTTTGTAGATACACATTCAAAGATCATCTTTACAAAAAATCACTTGAATCCGATATCATTTGATCATTAAATTGAGTTATTGAAATTTTAGTACTTTCTTGAAGCACCGTGTTCATTGATTTTGTAGGACACAATTGGATGTTGAAACGGTTTCCGATTTGTCTAATTTTTTGTAAGGATGATCTATGAATGAAGACTTAAAAAATAGATGGTTTGGATCATTGGAAAAAAAAATTGTAGGGCACCATAAAGGGCATCCCTCAAATAAAATTATTTGAGGAATCCCTCAATAGAAGGGGACTGTATATATATATATATATATATATAAACCAAAGTGATGGTAGGGCGATATCAGTGGAGTTGGGTCAATGGAGGAGTTGGGTCGGTGAGGCTCCAGTGCATCTGGTGCATGACATGTCTTGATAAATTTTTTAGAGAGAGAGAGAGAGGGTCGATGATGGGTGGTGGGGGAGTTGTGGGAGCTGTGGGTGGCTGAGGGAGGCATTTAGTGGCTGAGTTTGTGAGGTTGGGCGGAGATCAAGGGTTGCGTAAGTTTTCTTTTCTTTTTGTCCGCTTTTTTTATATTTATGTTATTTAATATATTTTATTTTTATACTTTTTAAATTATTTTAAAAGAAAATAAGATTTTACTAATTGTTTTGGTCTACATAAAGGCTATATGAGCAAAAGAAAATAGAACCCACGTTTACCACATCATAATAACAAACCTACTAATGGTCTGGGTAATGGAGGGTCTCATTTGTAGGATTTCCATAAGTTTGGGTACATGATTGTAGGGCCTTCAAAACTTAGGTATGAGTTTGTATCAATCCCCATAGTTCGGGGGGTGTTAAGTAATTAATCCAAATTTTAACCATTTTGAGAAAGTTAAATACCAATATGTTCATAACAAAATTTTATTTTATTTATATTGTTGTTACAGATATACAACTATAAAAGAAATTACAACAACTATCTTTTATGAAGACAAGCTTTGGCTAGTGGTTTTCGTGTGTTAATGTTGTCTAATTTTTTATTAGAGCATATAAGTGGGAATCGAACACATGCCTCCAATGAGAATAGAAACTCAACAAACCAACTCAGTTGGGCATACAATTATTTAAGTATGTTGTGTACACACAAAAACAAACCCCCAAAAAATTGGGGGCCTTGTGTGATGGCACGACCCCCACAACCCTAGGGTCGGCCCTGTGTTCGGATCATTAGTTGTACTAGCTATACTCGTTAGCTTTAAGGTTGGGCATTCTTAACAAAAACATAGAGTAAATCAGCCAAACAAGACCAATCAATTTTAAATTCTCTTTTTTACTTTTGAATTTCGATGAATAAGCCAAACCCGACCATCCTCCTTCCACATCAATCTTCTCAAAACCTCGAATCCCAGGTCTAACCCCAACCATTCCCTGTCATTAGCCAACTCCACAAACCACCTCTCACTTCCATGTACACCTCAAAACCCCCATATCTCACCCTCTCTTTCTCTTTTTTTTGTCTCTCTCTATTACATGGAACAAATCTGAATTGTTTGGTCAACTATATGGAATTAGTTGGTTGAAAGGAGGGATGCTTGGTTGGGTGATGTTGTTGGATAAAACTAAAACTCTAATAGTATTTGCTTACTTAAACGTTGAACACAAAAGTTATGATAGAAAGCTTCAAACTTGATAAATTGAACATAATAAAAGAGTACTCCTTAAATAGGAAAAATAAAGCTACTACTGCAAGTAACATGATCGTTACTCAGTAGATTTTGTGGAGCCACAATCCATGATTAAAAACATGAAAATAAACATGGTTACCCACACTAACCATGGCTCCTACAAACTAGAGATTCTCTTATAGTCTAGGTATCACTAATCTCCTAACCATAGGCAACAACTATTATTAAAAATTAAAAACAAATCTTAACACCCTCCCTTAAACTGATTTTTGCATAAAACAGCTTTGGATTTAAACTTCAACTCTAGTCCAATGTTGATACCCTACCTTGAACAACGACCTGTGAATAGCAAACTTCAAGTATGCTTCTGAGCTTCTCAAACACTAGTTGTTTGAGAGGTTTGGTCAAGATATTAGCAGTTTGATCTTCACCCTTGCAAACCTCTAACTCAATCACATCATCTTTACAAAGATCACGCAAAAAGTGATAACGAACATCTATATGTTTGCCTCCCATACATAACTAGATTCCTTGAAAGCTTTATGGCAGAAACATTGTCACAAAATATTGTTGTTGGACCTTGCTGCTGATGAACAAGAACTTCGAGCATTCTTCTCAGCCGAATGGCTTGACAGGAACACGAAGCAGCTACAACAAATTCAACTTCAGTAGTGGATAGTGTCACAAGCTGTTGCTTCTTTAAGGACCACGAAATAGCACCTGAACTCATCAAGAACACATGCCCAAAAGTGCTTTTTCAATCATCAATATCACGTGCATAATCATTGTCACTAAAGCCGAAAAAACTTGGTTTTTCACCCTTTTTGTAAAGAACGCCAAAAGAAGTATCGAAAGATTCTCTTGGCTGCCTTGAGATGCATCTCAGTAGGATTGTCCATGTAACGACTTATCATACTAATAGCATGCATGATGTCAATCCTTGTTGAGGTCAAGTACATCAGACTTCCAACTATTTGCTTGAAGTAAGTATTATCAATTCTCTCACCATTGAGATCTCTTGTCAACTTTAAACCAATTTCAGTTGGTGTTTCAACTGGATAGCAACTCATCATGTAAAACCTTTCAAGCACTTTAAGAACATATTTCTTTTGACAAATAAAATTTCCAGCAGCTGATTGTACTACTTCTATACCAAGAAAGTAGTGCATCAGTCCTAAATCAGTCATATTGAACTCATTCATCATAGACTTCTTAAACTCATCAAACATATCACAATCATTTCCAATGTAAATCAAGTCATTTCATCATCAACCTTAACATACAAAGTATGTTCATATGGACACTTTTGGAAGTCTTGTTTGACAAAATATGCACTACACGACTGTACCAAACTCGTGGTGCTTGTTTCAGCCTATAGAGTTCCTTCTTCAATCTCAAAACTTTCTCCTCTTTTCCTTGCTGTACATGGCCTGGAGGTTGATCTACAAATACTTGTTCTTGCAATTCACCATGTAAAAAGGTAGGCTTTACATCTAATTGAAAAAAAAGGACAAGAGTTTTGAGCAGCTAAAGAGATTACCAAACGAATTGTATCTTACCGTGCAACAATGGCAAACACCTCTTTATACCCCATATTCTTGCTTCTATCCCTTAGCCACCAAATGAGCTTTGTGCTTGCCTATTTCACCTTTCTCATTCAATTTGGTTTTAAACAACCACTTCACTCCAATAGTTTTATGACCCTTAGACAAATCAGTCAGCTCCCATGTATGATTCTTCTCAATAGAATTGATTTTAGCCTCCATTGCCTTTTGCCATTTTGTGTCTTTGACTGCCTCTTCAAAGGAGATAGGATCCGAATCTACAAACAAAGCAAAATGAGCAGTAGTGTCATCATCTGAGAGTTCATCTCCACTTAAATAATCAATCATCCAAGTTGGTCTCTTCCTTGGACGTTGGTTTTCGGGTGGTTGCTCATTTTCCAGTGGAATTGTGGAAGAAATGGGCAAGTGTTCATCTGAGGATTGCATCTGTTGTTCAGTCCTATTTTCTGCATCTTCAAAATCGATTAGAATTAGTTGTTGTTCTTTGACTTTTCTATTCCAATCCCACATCTTAGCTTCATCAAAGACCACATCTCGGCTGGTAACCACCTTTTTAGTAATAGGGTTGAACAATTTGTATGCTTTGGAGTGTTCATTCACTCTAAGAAAGATGCATTTCTCACCATTTTCATCAAGCTTCTTCCTCTTCACATCTGGAATATGTGCATATGATGTTGTTGCTTTCCTTCCACTCCAAGCTTCCTCAGGCGTCATGTTTTGAACAAAAAAAGTGGGACTTCTGTTCAAAACATGAATAGACCACAACATTGCCTCTAGCCAGAATTTCTTTAGAACTCTCCCGTTGACTATCAAGCTTCTAACCATGTTGAAGATGGTTTGTTCTTTCTTTCGAATACACCTTTTTGCTTAGGTGTATATGCAAATGTGAATTGTCTTCTAATGCCTTGCTCATCACAAAAAATTTCAAATTCCTTTGAACAATATTCTCCACCACAATTAGTTCAAAGAGTCTTAATGGTTCTTCCAGCTTCATTCTCAACTAGTGCTTTGAAGCTCTTAAATGCATTAAAAGCCTCTAATTTTTCTTGCAAAAAATACACCCATGCCTTCCAGCTAAAATCATCGATAAAAGAAACAAAGTATTTCTTTTACCATTTGATATTGGTATAATGGGACCGCAAATTTCTGAATGCACCAACTCTAGCTGATTATGAGCTCTCCATGCCTTTCTTTTTGGGAACTCATCAAGGTGTTGTTTGCTAACAATAAAATCTTCACAAACTTTAGATGGTGGTGTAATCATGGGAAGCCCAGTCACCATTTGTTTTTTATGAAGTGTCTTCAATCCATTGAAATTCAAATGACCATATCTAAAGTGCCACAGCCATGATGGGTCATCTTCCTTAGCCATTAAGCAAGCTTCTATTGTCTTTATCTTCAGTAGAAACAATCTGTTTGATGTCATTTGAACAACGGCAATGGCACCTCTTACTGGATCATAAATCTCACATGCACCTTTCTGAATGGTTATAGTATGACCTTTGTCTTGCAATTGACCAGCACTCAACAAATTTATCTTTAAGTCAGGAACATAAAAGACATTAGAGATTGTCTCTACAAAGTTATTTTTAGTTTTAATCTAAATATCACCATTTCCCATCACTTTCACAGTATACCTATCACCAAAACTCACAGTAGTACTAAAGCCTTCATTTAAAAAAGAGAAAGAAGACTTACTACCACTCATATGGTTGCTACAACCAGTGTCAACATACTAGACTTTTGACTCAAGCTCCTCCTTGATATGATAGGCCATCAACAATGTCTCTTCTTCCCTTTTTCTCAGCAAAGTTCGATTTCTGTCCCTATTCTTTGTTTTTAGACATCCTTGTGTAGCATTCATTGGGATAATGCCCATAATTTCCACACATGTAGCACTCAATCTTGGACTTATCAACCTGTCCTCGATTGAAATTGAGGATTTAGCAAGGGTAGAAGCTTTCAAAGATTGCTCATCTAAGGTGCCTCAGTTTAGCCTTTGCTCATGGACCAGCAAGGAGCTTTGCAACTCATCTATTAACATCTCATCAATATTATTGGACTCTTCAATAGAACACACAACATAATCAAACTTGAGGGCCATAGATCTCAAGATCTTCTTAATAATGGTCACATCATCAAGTTTGTCACCATGGATTCTCATCTTGTTTGCAGTTCCCATTACTCTTCCAAAGTAATCAGTAACAGACTCTAATTTTTTCATCTGAAGAGTCTCGAAGTCTTTTCTCAAAGCTTGAAGTTGTGCACGCTTCACTCTTGCCGAGCCCTGGTACTTTTTCGTCATGGATTCCCATATGTTTTTTGCTGTATCTTTTTGAAGAATAGTGATGCAGCACGCATCGCTCATAATTTTTTGTTTCAGTTGGACAGGCGTAAGATGCGTAATTAATGTTCTAGGAATCTGTTTTAAGTAAATATTTTTGTTTTCCTATTTCAATTAGAATTGGGAGTTTGGTTTAGGAAGTAAGTTTGTTTTCCTACTTTAGTTAGGGTTCGGAGTTTGTTTTGTCTTCCCTAAGTATAAAAGCTATTTTATAGCTAATTGTAAGACAATTTTGACGTTAAATATTAAACTTAGAAAATTCTCTCTATTTTCCTATCAACTTGGTATTCCGCTGGAATCAACAAGGCATAGATAATAAGTTCATAATTTCATACATTTACATGCCTTCTTTACATAGTGTTTTTGCTTAGTTTCTCTTTATTTTGAGTCACTTACATCTGTTTGTGTGTTTTGTAGGTTAAGACAACAAGAAATCACATTTGATACAATCCATGCATGTTAAGGGCTGATTGGGATGAGAGGAATATGAGCTTAAAGACAAACCTAATTTGGGCCACACTCCCTTGTCAGTCCAGTTTCGTAGGTCATCTTAGAGACCTCATTTTAGGAACCTACACAGCTCGGATGAAAAGACATCCTTAATAGAAGTTGTTCCAATAGGTGTCTATTATAACATATGCAAATTTCAGCCCCATTGGATAAATCTGGAGCCCTCAACACGTCAAACACCCAACCAAGTTCATAGAAAAGTCATAGTTGGCTGCCATCACATTTAATGTGGCCATATCCCTGTAGCCATGTACTACACATAAAAGCAACCACACATGGGAGACGAATTGGCTTAGGAACTTAGAAAGATGGAAAAAAAAAAAAAAAAAGTCAAGCTTACCATGAAGAGACCAAGAATAGTCTACCAAAAGCATTTATTGGGCAGCTGGAGCAGTTAGCATTTATTGGACAGCTGAGGCAGTTGGGCAACAGCTGAGAGAGGTGTGCTTCACCAGCCAAAGGGAGGACGATTTTGGCACTCTATAAATAGAGAGATGCACACTCATTCAAGGGGACACATACATTCATTTCATCCATTACTTATACACACATTCAGATTCCATCATTCACCACAAAGAGAGAAGAGAGCTAGTTACAAAGGAAGGAGAGCTTGGAGCTATCCTGGGAACTACCTTGCTACCACTAGCTAGTTCTTCTCTTCTCTTTATTCTATCTATGTATTTCTTATTTTCTGTATTCATGTTATGCCTAACTAATCCATTTAGTTAGGGCTTAGGATGAAGCCCTAGTCATGAATATTCAATGTTATGGATGATTTCATAGTTAATTGATTTCCCTGCTTTCTTTATCAAGTTGTTAACCTCCAATTTATTATGTGCTTGATGTATGTTTTCTTGGAGTAGCTAACTAGGATTTTATTCATCTAGCATAGGTTGGGAAGGGGTTTAGATTCACCAATTCTACTTTCCTTCCACAAGCAACACATGAATGGCCTAAGAATCATTCAATGGGTTAATAATCATAAGTAAACTGGGACAGACACCATGTTCTAGGACTTGTGTGATTATCATATTCTCAGGGAGCTTAATGTCTTTTGTATGCTGTATTCTAAGTAGATATCATGCTTAGGTTGCATATTAGAGATCACCTGTTGCGTAGATACCATGCACAATTACATGCCTTAGGAGAATCATGCGTCCTGACCTAGATACCATAGGCTTGTATGAGAAAATCTATTGTTAATGAAGCTTGAGTCAATTTCTATGCATTCATAACTTGAATGGGAAGACTAGTAGTGGATTCCAAGGCTCTAACACCTCTCAATCATTCTTTTAGAACTTGTTAATTGATGCCAGTGTTTTCTTTCCAACACTTTCATTTCATTTTCGTATTTTCATTTTAACAACAAAACCCCCCCATTTCAAGTGTGTGTGTGGTGCTAGGATTCTGTCCTAGACCTTGAGTAATTAGCAAGGGGCATTGTTGAATTCAACTTTGCCTTAGTTAGTCAGTTTCTTTGTTTTCTGTTTTTCCAGCATTCTAAATAGTTTAACTTGGAACCACGTTACCATTCTCTGTGGGAATTGAAGTTACTATAAACGATTCGTGCACTTGCGAGAATTGAAGTTACTATTTTTAATAACTCTTTTTAGTTGTTAAGAATAGGCACAACAATAGAACCTTTTTGTTCTTGTTTATTCTCATCTAGAGAATCAACAAGGATTGAAGTTTATTGTTTTCTTTTGTGTTCTTCATCATTCTTGCTATCACGCATTGCATCAAATAGTCTCCAAAATAGCACGATCAATAGCCTGAAATAAATAATTCTTCACCTTCAAAATCTTTTAGCCTTTGATCATCAAGTTTCTTTTGTTGTTGTTGTGTCAGTTGTGTTCCTTCTTCTGGCTCTTTGTATCTCGTCTCCACAAGATCTCAATATTCTTTAGACCTTAGAAAGTTCTCCATTAACATGCTCCAATGGTCCTAATGACCATCAAAGCAAGGTATGGCTGGCTGGACAAAGTTCTCTTTTGGCTTGTCAGTCTCCATGGATTCTTGCTGCTGCAATACACAAAAAAACTGTTGCAATTTGGGATTTTTTTAGTCATGCCCAGTGGGAGCTTTGATACCAGATGTTGGATAAAACTGAAAATCTAAGAGTATTTGCTTGCTTAAACGTTGAACACAAAAGCTATGACTGAAAGTTTCAAACTTGATAAATTGAACTGAATGAAAAAGAACACCTTAAATAGGAAAAACAAAGCTACTGCTGCAAGTAACATGATCATTACTCAGCATATTTTGTAGAGCCACAATCCACAATTCAAAGCATAAAAATAAACATGGTTACCCACACTAACCGTGACTCCTACAAACTAGGGATTCTCTTATAGTCTCGGTATCACTAATCTCCTAACCATAGGCAACAACTATTGTTAAAAATTAAAAACAAATCTTAACAGATGTTAGATGGGTGCTTGGCTAGGTTAGTCTTTGAGAGGTGGGGGAGGGGGAAAAAATGGGAGAGCTGAGAGAATTAGGTGGTTTTGGTGGTTGAGTGGTGGTGGCGGAAAGCCCTTTTCTGAGCTCATGGTGGTGGATTTATAGGGTGAATTCTCAATTGTGTCCTTATTATAAGTTTATTGATCTTTGAAATGAACTCTATTACGTGCGTTATAAAAAAAATTTCAAAGTTTTTCTTATAAAAGTTTTCAGAAACTTGGGGTTGTGTGTTAAGAATAAGTATTTTTAAATCCTTATTGTTGTCAACTCAGTAAGTTTATCTCACAATTTTTATCTTTGTTTTGCACTCCTAGCTCTTAGTTATCATAGGTCATATTAGATCCACGTCAAGGCTTCCTTTGCTCACATGTTTGTCATTGACTTTGTAGGATGCAAGCATTTGAATCATTCTCCTTCTAAGCTTTAGCTTATGAATCTACTAGATTAGGCTTCTTCTTTTTATTGTTCTTTTTTTTTTTTTTTTTTTTCCCAAAAATTGAAAAAGGGGGGGGGGGGGGGGGGGGGGGGGGGGGGGGGGAACAGATAAAATGTAATTTTTGCCAATATCAAGCGTCGAACCTGGGTGCCAATATGGGGTCCATGGGGGAAAATTACTGCCGAACCATCGTAGCTGAACCCCACTGGTGTACTAGATTGGGCTTTGATATGTACAACATATGCTTTTTGAGTTATACGCTTTTGTTAGTCTAGTGATTGACTTAGTACTTGCGCATATGTACCTATACATTTCCTCGCAAAGGTCACACATCTCATTTCAGGTATGTGGGGATGATTGTGTGGTAGATTGAGATTGGACATTAGGTTTACATCCAATTAAAATATTGAGCCAACGGGGTCAAGCCTAGTGGAAAAGGGCCTTGACGTGCAGATCATAGGTCTCAAGTTCAAACCTCCATGGAATCTTAGTTTTGTGCGTGTGTGTGTGTGAGAAACCACATCTCCCCTATAATTTAGACTATCCCTTGTACTAAAAATAAAATAGATGTCAGTGGAAAATGTCCATAAAGCTTGCCAAAAAGAGCCCAAATTACATGAGGAGGTAGTTTCTCCCAACGACTAGAATCAACAAAGGATGCCTTATCCCCACCTAAGGAGGCTGAAAACAGGTAAAGGAGCCCGAACATGCCAAACCAAGGTTTACGTTACTAAAGCCCAACGCGCATGGCCCCTGGTGCCTTTCCTCAGAGGCCCACAAGTGGGAAGCCGAAGTGCCAAGTAAAGGCTCATGAGATATTCTCCTGATGTACATTTTTCATGAAAAGGAGAGACACACTTTAGGCTACCACCAATCACCCACTCAAAGGATACCACGTCATCAGCGACTCCTCAATCCCACATAAAAAAATAATAAAAAAAAGGGCAATAGAAAGGTTCAACTTTCCGTATATAAAAAGGAGTACTTTTCACCTAAAAAAGGTAATCACAATCTCCTCCATACCTCTTGAACCTCCTTTGAGGAAAACAAGACTAACTTAAACATAAAAGGGTAGTTGGTGGACCCATTACCACCTCTTCAGTGATCTTTTTCAATCTCTCTTTCAAGGAAAAACAAAAAAAACAAACAAACCAAAAAAAAAAGCTAGCATTTGCCTTATTTGGCCACTCCGAATAAGAGAGAACTATACATAAGTGCATGTTCCTAACCAAGTCCGTCCTTAGGAAATGATTGACTTAGTTTGACTCACTCTTATTGGTTAAGAAATTTTTACGCATCAACAAATGAAATTTATATCAACTAAAACCATATTTGAATTGAGGGATATAAAGGTCATTTGATTGAATCATAAATTCTTGATTGAATAGGATTTGGATGATATCACCTTAATTGAAAAGATTAGTGGGAATAGGATACAATTAGCCAAATTACCTCCAATTTCCTAATTAAGTGGATATAGGAAATAGAGGAGCTTAAGGGCACTTGCGACACACCACTCATCAGAGAAAGTGTGAAACTTGTGCGCTTCATC